ACCCACGAGTAACGACCTGAGACCTATGAAGAATCAGCCCTACGGATAACGTAAGCGAACATAGCTGGTGTTAATGAGAAGACGGGAAGGTGGATGCGGTTGAAAACATGCAGTTCCAGTTATAGTAAGTTCCAGAGGGAGATACCAAATTATGACTTCATAGGCCGGCGTTTTGACCTGATGGAAAGCCGCTTCTCTTCCTGTGTTTTGATGTATCAAAAAGGAAGTAACATTTCTCGTTTTACTTCTTTTATGAACTTGTTTATGGTAGCTCGTGGTAGCCACGAATCATGAATAAAATAGTTTTCTTTTACTCCAGGAATCTTTGCTTTCAGAAACGTGCAACTGACGCCACCAGCGGGAGCAATTTAATAATTTATCAAAAGGTTACAGATACATGACTTTGTAGAATAGCAAGCATGTAAAAATCGTTCGGGATTCTCTATTTCTCTGGAAATTACTGTGCTACGGAGAAGAGAATCCTTCGAAAAAGTATTAACAGGCTCGCTGCAAAAGCTTATCTACATGCTTGAACTTAAATTAATCTTCTTCGGCGAGTTGGAGGGTTAATGTTTGTCAGCTGTGCGCAGACAGTCAGTAGTGTTTGAATAACGCATGATTCACCGCCTAGGACATTGAAAACATTAGGGGACACTGTAAAAAGTCTACATACTCCCCGAGGCTGCAGCATGCAACGGCAGAAAATCGGCGAAGCATGAGTCTGGACTTTTAGTCAGTGCCTGAATCACGCGAATCACCTCAATCAGGTGAATCACGCAACGAATTTAACCATCTGAATTTTCTTAATCTCCGATGAACTGAATGCTAGAGCTTGGGATCAGCATTTGCGAAAAGGTCTTTTCAGGCTCGGTTGATGTGAATATGTGAGTTGAACTGCAGCAGTTACTGTGGAATAATCGCGTACTATCCACAAGCTGCTAACATGTAGTCAGTAGTATACATCATTACACACTAGCATACTTAACTTTTAGCTGGAACATTTCCTCCCAGCACGTTTAATTATAGCGTGGCGTATGCTACAGCCTGTCTGTTGAAAAGTTGGGAATAGCACTCGGTTATTTCGCCGTAGCTGATGGATTTCAGCTGGAATATTCATATGCACTTTCGCACCGAACAGGAAAGGTCTTATGTTTAGCGATGATACCGACGTAAGCATTCAGGAATTCAAGTTAGGCGAACGAACCTTTTCGATTAATTCGTAATCAGGTAAATACACTATTATAAGGGAGGGTAGAGTTAACAAAGGTTTAACCAACCAAGGTGAGATGTGTTGAGGGATCAGACGGGTTAGATTCTAGTCTTACTTGGGGACCAGGAAGAGGAAAGGGCGATGAGGGGGTCCGACAATTAGTCATCGGACACCTTCCCCTCTCTGGTCCCCAAATAAGACTAAAATCTGCCCCCTTTGATTCCTGAACACCTTTTTACCTTTTCCCCCTAAATACTACTGGTTGGTTGCTTAATCGTTTCTTAACTCTACCCTCACTTATATTATTGTATTTACCTGATTACGAAATCGTTGAAAACTTTCATACGCCTAGCCTGACATCAGGAATGATTTTTTTTCAAGGGATTAATTTTCAATTCATGTTTTACTTTACTATGAAATTCAGAAAGGCGAGAGATAAACTGGAGTTAATATGCCATAAAACACAAGAGGCAAGCTGGCGGGGCGAATTATGAGCTGAAACGCTCACAACTCCGTCATGTAGCGGCACAATATCGGCGAAACACATCTGTGTGGGCTTTTACCTAGTACCTGTACATACAGTGTCGTAAGAAAGTACGTAGGCGAAGCAGTTTTAATCGCAAAAAACAATAGATAGCACTGTGCTAGTTTCCCACCTTCGCTGGAGGCAGTTTATCATCTCCTTTCCGACTAAAAGCAGTTTTTGACAAGACTATGCGTCTCACGATTTTTCCGTCGGGAAAAGAGCGCTTCTTGTGCTCAAATGCATCTGTAAACTTTAAAATTTTTGTCAGGCCGTTATTCTTGTGCAAAGGCACATGAACCAACTCGAATGTAGCCCAAAATAAATATGCTAACACATTAAGCGTCAATCTGTTACTTAACCAGTTAAGCTCGTTTTACATGAATAAGCACTTCGAGGATGGAGTTAATCCATCACACGAGCCCGTTCTAGCAATTTTCGGTGGAAGCTAATTTAGAGGAAAGGATCTTTAATGTGGTCCCTTGAGTGACCAGGGGGTCAGGAACAACCGGTAGCAAGGTGGCTTTGCGTCAGCTTACAGAGACATAAACGTTTGGATTAGGGTTTAGGTTAGGGCTACGACACGGAAAAAGGTACTCCTTATAAAATTGAGCGAACTGCCATGAGAAGCATTCCTATTCTCTAGCTCTGTGGGGCACACATAAAAGATTCCCACCGAATCACACCTAGGTAAAGTCGACAACCAGAACTGGATCAGAAAACTGCTTCCAAATTATGCATTAAAACCAATTGGCGGCCACACCCTAATTCCAAAACATGAAGGCCTAGGTCTTGAAATTTACCCCATCTAGTCGTCCAGCATTTGTATAAAACCGACTAGGTTTCAAACGCGTATGTGTTCTCCTTCAGTAGCTGACTGCTAACAACAAATAAACCACCCACGGCAGAGAAAGTCGCCACATGGCTAACTAACCTGATCTCATGCGCAGTGAATGCGTTTTTACGGGCACTAAGGCCCCCTTAGAGGAAGAACAACTCAGCATGCGTTCACATGCCTCCTACCATTTCGCGCGACAGTGACCAATGCGTCCTCACGCCCCCTCCTCTCCCTCCCCCACCACGACGCGAAACAGTGACGAGGGGACGACATGAACTAACTGCCGGACCCCTTCCCCCACCCCCTCTATGGCCCCTTGTTATGACTAGAATCTGACTCAATGAACCCTGAACACCTCCCCTTACTTACTAATTGGTTGCTTAAATTTTTATCCCCTGTAGCCCCCCCCTTATACTATTGTAATTGCCTGGTGATGAATAATCGAGAAAGACCATTTGCCTAACTTGACTTCCTGAATGCTTACGTATGTGTAATCGTTAAACGTAAACCGCGTCTACTACGTAACTATTGACTTTATTAACAGCACATAAACTAAATAAAAGCCTATACATGCGTTTTTCGTCGATCTTGTGCCGGTGCGGGGGTAGATACGAGGGGTTCAGTTCATCAGTGGTACCGCAGCCATTCCTCGTGTGGTTTGTGGTATATGAACCCCAGATTTATCTGGAGTCAGACAGCGGCGCGAATCGGCCAAACACGCGTTTCTGAGCTCTGCTGCCAGCATGGTAAATACTAACTTAATAACTGCCTGCCCGCTGGCCGCTTGTCAGTATTATGCGGTTATATAGCAGGAACC